TGCAGAAATGAGATAGGACAGATGCAAAGGCGCCTCACACCAACCCATTCATTCATTTATTCAAAAACATTTCTTTAGCACCTATTATGTCCTGGAAAGTTATATGAAGATAAAACAAGGTTCTTACCCTCAAAAGCTCCAATGTGTTAAATGCTATGAGGAGGATATGACAACAGCTTGGAAGCACAGAAGAGAAGAGGTTGAAGTAAAAATAGCCAAAAAGTGGAAAAAAGGCAGGTAGTGCCCATTGTCACAGGCTTGCACCGTGCAGCTTATACTAATATCAAAAAGAAACCCAGAGTGGCTTGACCCCAGGGTTCAAGTGAGAAATGAAGAGTACACAGCTGGAGTCAGGTCGTCAAGGGTCTTGGAATCCACATGCCAGGTACTGGGGAACTACTTAGGCTTTTTTTTTTTTTTTTTTTGAGACGGAGTTTCGCTCTTGTTACCCAGGCTGGAGTGCAATGGCGCGATCTCGGCTCACCGCAACCTCCGCCTCCTGGGCTCAGGCAATTCTCCTGCCTCAGCCTCCTAAGTAGCTGGGATTACAGGCATGCGCCACCACGCCCAGCTAGTTTTTTGTATTTTTAGTAGAGACGGGGTTTCACCATGTTGACCAGGATGGTCTCGATCTCTCGACCTCGTGATCCACCCGCCTTGGCCTCCCAAAGTGCTGGGATTACAGGCTTGAGCCACCACGCCCGGCCTACTTAGGCTTTTTAAGTTAAGAAGAGGTATGAATAATTGCCTCTTTAGAGTGATCATGCTAGGTGCTATAGGAATGGATTGGATGTGGAGAGAACTGGAGGCAGGGGAAACCTCCAGTGAGGTGACTGATTTATTCTAGATGAAAGATTATGAGATCTCAAAGGTAGTGGCAACTGCTGGGTGAGGTGGCTCACGCCTGTAATCCCAGCACTTTGGGAGGCTGAGGTGGGCAGATCACCTGAGGTCAGGAGTTCAAGACCAGCCTGGCCAACATGGCAAAACCCGATCTCTACTAAAAATACAAAAATTAGCTGGGCATGGTGATACGCACCTCTAATCCCAGCTACTCAGGAGGCTGAGGCATGAGAATCGCTTGAACTCAGGAGGTGGAGGTTGCAGTGAGCCAAGACTGCAACCACTGCACTCCGGCCTGGGTGACAGAGCAAGACTCCACCTCAAAACAAACAAACAAAGAAACAAAAACAAAGGTAGTGGCCATTAGGGATGAAAAAGAAGTGATATGTTTGGAGACATTTAGACTGTAGAATCTATAGGACTTGGTGACTTGGTGACGAGTTGAATACAGAGAGAGTGAAGGAGCATAACACCCAGGATTCTGTCCTGGGAGGCCAGAGCTGTCTGCAGCTGGTGTTAGGTGAACAGGGCTATGGAAGAGGAGGGGCAAATATGGAAGTGAGAGAAAGACAAGTGAGTTTATTTGGACTTCATAAAAATTTCAGCAATGTCTCCACTTCCTCCAGAACAATGTCCAGACTCCAAAACTGCAATTTGGATTTAGTGTTTTGGTTTTTTTCTCTTAAGAGATTAAGTCTTACTCTGTCACCCAGGCTGGAGTGCAGTGGCACTATCATAGCTCACCGCAGCCTTGAACTTCTGGGCTCAAGGGATCCTACCACCTCCACCTCCCAAGTAGGTAGAACTACAGATGTGTGCCACCACAGTCAGCAAATGTGTTCCTATTTTTTTTTTTTTTTTTTTTTTTTTTTTAGAGATGGAGTCTCACTATGTTGCTCAGGCTGGTCTTCAGCTCCTGATTTCGTGACCCTCCCATCTTGGCTCCCAGAGTGCTGGGATTAGAGGTATGAGCCACCACGCCCAGCCCATGGCTGCAGTTAAAGCCCTTCAAAGTATGCCTCCCTCCTAATTCCTCGAGCTTTGCTTTGTTGCACCCCACCCCCTTCACAGTCCAAACTCCCATGCCTGGCACAACTTAAACCTTCCTTCTCAGACACCAGGACTGTGCTCAAGCTTGCTTTCTTTTTTTGTAATGCTCTTATATATTCCTGTAAAAATCCTATCAACTCTAAAAGCAAAGATTTCTAAAATCCAGTGCAAAAAATACTAACCATAATAGAAAACATGGAACTTTTGCACTGTGTTAAAATTAAGAATTTCTGGCCAAGTACGGTGGCTCACACCTGTAATCCCAGCGCTGTGGGAGGCCGAGGTGGACGGATCACGAGGTCAGGAGTTTGAGACCAGCCTGGCCAACCCTGTCTCTACCAAAAATATAAAAATTAGCCAGGCATGGTGGTAGGAGCCTGTAGTCCCAGCTACTTGGGAGGTTAAGGCAAAAGAATCACTTAAATTCAGGAGGCAGATGTTGCGGTGAGTCTAGATTGCGCCACTTCACTCCAGCCTAGGCCACGGAGCAAGACTCCATCTCAAAATAGAATTTCTGCTTGTCAGATGCAGTGGAGTATGCCCATAGTCCTACTTGGGAGGCTGAGGCAGGAGGATCACTTGATCCCAAGAGTTCAAGGTTGTAGTGGTACCTGTGAATAGCCACTGCATTCGAGCCTGAGTAACATAGCAGAGACCCCATCCCTTGAAATAATAATGATTTGTTTCAGAAGACACCAGTAGGAGAATGAAAAGACAAGCCACGCCTTGGATAAGACATCTGCAAAGCATATATCAAAGAACTCCATATCCAGACTGTAAAGAACTCCATATCAGTAAGAAGACAGCCCAATTTTTAAAAGTCAGGAAAAGAACGGGCACTTCACAAAAGAGGACATTCAACTAGCCAAGAAGCATATTGAAAGGTGCTCAACATCAGGAAAAACGTTAATAGATACCTTAATGCAGTAACATTCAGCTAGAATGGCTAAAATTAAGAAGACCAACAACAAACATCTGGTGTTGGCAAGGATAAGAGGCACCTAGAACTCTTAGTGAAGGCGTAAACTGGTACAATCATTTTGAAAGACTAGCAATGTCTATCACTGATCATGGGCAAACCCTCCCTACACACCAGCAATTCCTATCCTGGAAGTGTGTGCAAGTGTCTGCAAAAAGATACATGTAAGAATGCTCACTACAGCTTTGCTAATAATAGTCCAAAAAAATAACAACCCAAATGCCCAACAGTGGGAAAGATAAATTGTGGTATACACATACAACAGAATACTATTCAGCAGTTAAAAGGCTACACACAACATGGATGAATTTCACAAAAATACTGACAAGGTTAAAAAGCCAGACACATACTGTACATACTCTATTATTACATTTAACTACTCTATGATTACATTTAACTGGAATTCAAGAACAGGCAAAACTGATCTACGGTGATACAGTCAGAAGAGTGATTATCTCAATATGTAAGAATGTAATACTGATTGGGAAGGAGCACTAGGCATGCTAGAAATGTTCTTTATCTTGATTTGGGCAGCAGGGACAGGGGCGTATACCTATGTGAAAATTGTTCCCTTGCTGTATGTATGTTACATTTCATTATCAAAAACTTTTTTAACATAAAAAAAAAAAGCAAGCTCAAATGCCACCTTCTCATTAAACTTTTGCCAGCTGCAATGAACCTTTTTATAAGGGCCTCCTTAGCATTCTGATGTCATTTCTTTATGCCATTTTACCACACTCCATCTTGAATCTCCGTGGAGTCTCCTTATTTCTCTAAATAGATGTTTTGTTTATCTTCCTGGTGGCAGTGACCATGTCCTTCACCTTTTACCCACTCAGTGCCTGACAAATAATAGGCTGAAAACATGTTTGTTGAATTACATGGAAGAAAAAAATTGGGTGAGTTCCCAGATGGGTGAAAGCAAGGACAGGCAGAGGAAGGAAGGCCAAGAGAAGGTCATAGGAGGTGTCCAAGGAAACCGTGGCTCACGCTGCAATTTTACCTACTTCCTGAAATCACGTTAAATGTCACTTTGAGTGGCAAAGAACAAAACACCAAGTCCTACCTAGGCTGAAAATAAATAAATATAACACTCCCTCACTTACAAGAAATCACCAAATAAATGCTATCTAATATCTGGGTGTTTCAACACTGGATGGGAAAACCGTTCAAGGAGAATAATAATTCACATCGCCATCCTGCTAAAAATATCACCTCCTTAGTGTGGTGCAGAGTCCAGACTGCAAGTCAGCAGACTTAGGGCCGAATTCTAACTCCGCCCGAACTTGCTGTGATCTGTGATCAATCCCTTCGCCTCTCTGGGCCTCAGTTTCCTCATACGTAAAAACGGGGTAGATTAGCAAAGTCCCTTTCTGTATTGATATTGAGGATACAATCCATAGCTCTCCCGGTCCAAAGCAGGAATACAGCAAAAAAACCCCGAAAAACACGTAAAAGGCGCCTCAGACCAACAAAGAAACACGACTTGAAGAAGTCATTTTGTTATCTTTCACGATTCAATCGTGTTTTTGTTTGTTGTTTGGTGCCTTACCATGATTTGCAGAAGATGTCTGAGTTCCATGTAAACAGAAGTTAACTCTCTGCGGCCTGTCATCTTCTTTGGAGGGTGAGAAGGGTCTTCCCGCCTGGTTTCAAGTCTCGGGATTCTGAAACCACCAACTCAGCTGGCGGGTTTATGAATTTGCGCACACTGCGCGGCACACTGGAGCCTTAAGTTATAGAGGAACCGAGTGCAGGGAATGTTGGGATTTGTAGTCCCCGGGCCTCTTTGTGGTGCGCTGGGATCTGTGGTCCCCGAGTACACCGCTGGAATGCTGGGAAATGTAGTCTGTGGCATCGCACAGTGCAACTAGCTGCCGTCTCAGACGGTTAGTGTGCTCAGTGGCGGGAGCAGGTCCCTAAAGCCTCTGCATATCCGAAGGCAACCCTCCGCTGGGACAAACTCTAGGCAACAACACCAGATGAATATTATGTCCTTTGGGACTTCCCGGGGTGGGCCCTTCCCATTGACGTTCACAGTCCCCCTGCGAAGCCGCTGCGCCCTTCTATTGGCTGATTGGGTTGCCAATTGCCAAGGCGGGCTTGCCATTGGTTCCAGGAGGGCACTCGAGGCTTCAGGGAAGGAGAAGGGATCAGGAGCGGGAGCTGAGGAGAGAGAGAGGCCGGTCCGGGTCTGGCCGCTGCTGCTGCTCTCTCGAGGTTTCCAGGCCGGGCTGCGGCTCCATCCTCGGCTCCTGGGCACCGTCTGCGAGGCTCCGCCGACCAGAGTGAGAAAGCCGCGGGCGGCGACCGCCGCATCATGTCAGCCAAGGACGAGCGGGCCAGGGAGATCCTGAGGGGCTTCAAACTGTATCCGCCCGGGAGCGGGGCGGGGCCGGGAGGACTTGGGAGACTGCCGCTCCCTGAGGAGACTGGCAGGGGACGGGGGCCGCGCCAGGTGGGCCCCACAGAAGAAGGGCTGCGGGAGGGGAAAGGAAAGGAGCAGCTTGCCGGGCCCCCGAAGGGACCGGGCGCAAGAGGCGGCCCCAGGGGCGTCCGGAGGAAGGACGGGGACGTTGACGGGAGCCCCGGGAGCCCCGGGGGGTGGCGGGTGGGGACGGTGGAGCCTGGGGGACGGGGCTGCGAGGGGCGCCGGGCGTCGGAAACGCTGTCGGAGAGGCCGGCTGGATTCCGATCCCCGGCAGGGACCCAGAGGCCGGGAGGGAGCTGCGGCCCGCAGGGAAGGGCTGAGGGGGCGCGGTGGGCTGATCTCGCAGGCTAGAAGCGCTCTGGCGGGAAGCCCACCCGGGGAGCGGGGAACAGTGACTTGGAGCGGGCGACCTTGTGTGGGACAATTACCAGTGCTTTAAAAGACTCTCTCAGGTCTCCCACCGCACCGCACCCCACCCCTGTCTGGTTTCCACAACTTCTCTTCCAAACTTGTGGCTTCTTCCAGGGCTGGAGTAGTTGGGGGGCGGGGGGGGCGGGGAAGAGAAGTCCAAGATCGACCTTGTCTTAACACTCTCGGCCTCCTGAGGCATTGGTCACTGCCTCCCCCACAGCGCCTCGGTTTTCTTTCCAGCTAGATGGGGACAGTAGACTTGGGTGTGGGACGCCTCGCGCTGGGACTCCTAGCCGAGGTGTCTTTGCTGGCTCCTGTCCGTGTGGTTAACGCCTGGCGGTGGTGGAGCTGTCCAGCAATGGTGTGATGTCGCTGGGGCAACGCTAGAATAGAGCGGGTTAGAAAAATCATTGCCTCGGGCCTGTTGTGGTGCCGCTTTTGCAACCTTTCCTCGTGGTAAGGAAGCTTTGCGTTTTCGTGGAGTGTGTTAGGCTGTCACCATATGATGCAGATGAAAAAAAATGCAAACTTGTATCTTCACATTTTCCATTCTCCTGCGGACTTTAATCTCTTCATACATCTTGTCTGTAATCTATAGTGCGGAACGTTCTTAAATTCCTCCCGCCGTGAAAAGGTGATCATCACTTTTGGGCTCCTCCCTTGGAGGTTTAGTGCACCGTTCTCTTGGTCTGCCGTTGCGTTTTTACAATGTCTATGTCACCCTTACAAATTTTAATTGCTTTGCTATGATCAGAAACCAAGTTGGTAATACATTTTAGATCACAGTGCAAAAAGTACAAGTGAGATTTTTCAAATGGAAATTGATCTTTGCTTTTTTAAAAAATAAAGGCTGTATCCCCTTTGCATACTACATTTCGTGATAAACTTTAAGAACTTTTATGTAGTGGTTTAGTGGCAGCCTCTTTTAGCTCCATATGCATTTCTGTGTTTCTCTCCATAATGGATCATATAGGTATACAGGGATGACTAAAATGCTAGAAAAGCTATGACATGGATTTTATTTTCCCTCAAGTAATTATATTATTACTTAACAAGTAACAGTGTAATAATATTATTAACAAGTAACAATGTAATAATATTGTTACTTAACATGCTGCATAGGCAGTAAACCAGAGATTATGGAGAATTGAGAGGTTGAGAGGTTTCAGAAGCAGCATTTTCATCTGATTGGAAAAACCATATTGCTGAAAAGAAGAAAGGTATTTTTAATGGCTTTTGAACAAGCAAAAAAGTTTGAGCTTCTCACTTTCAGTTTTGGCTCTTGAACCTGTTGAGAAAGAGGGTAAGAGACAAATACAGAAAAGAGTAGAAAGCAGAATCTGTGTCAGCCCACTAGAAGGAAAAGTGAATCAACTGATTCAGTGATGTTAGCGCATCCAGAAACAGGCTTTCAGAGAGAGCTTGACCTGAGCTAATTAAACCCTGAAGCACAAGGGAAGCAGCCACATCAAAAAGTTAGCAAGAGAGCAGTGGCATGCTCATCCTCTGGTAGCCTTTATTAGGCATCTGGGGAGTAAGAGAGAAAAGAAAAGCAGAAATGTTAGGATATGCTACTCCCTTCAGGAAAAAGTGAAATTAATGTTGGCCAGGTGCAGTGACTCAAACCTGTAATCCCAGCACTTTGGGAGGCCAAGGTGGGCAGATCACCTTAGGTCGGGAGTTCGAGACCAGCCTGACCAACATGGAGAAATGTTGTTTCTACAAAAAATACAAAACTAGCTGGGTGTGGTGGTGCATGCCTGCAATCCCAGCTACTCAGGAGGCTGAGGCAGGAGAATTGCTTGAACCCAGGAGGCGGAGGTTTCTTTGAGCCAAGATTGTGCCATTGCACTCTGGCCTGGGCAACAAGAGTGAAATTCCATCTCAAAAAAAAAAAAAAAAAAAGATAAAATGTTTTAGTAAGGAACTATCTGACTGTTGTCCACTTTTTATTGGGTAGATTTTCTGAACTTTCAGAGTGTCTTGTTTCTGTAAGAATTGTTTATCACTGCAAAAAGAGCACCATTATGTTCTCCCACCAACAATATTGATGGTACTCAGTTGACCTGTTGACTAGGTTAGTCTTTTTTATTTGCCAGTTTGTACAACAAATGAGATCTTGTTTTAATTGGTATTCTACTGGATCCCTAGATCCATGAAGAGGTAATGTAGCATAGTGGTTAAGAGTTATACTGGCCTGTGGCTATACTGCCTGCACTGGAGTTCTCGCCCTGCACTCCTAGTTATGTGTCCGTGAGCAACTGCTTTAACCTCACCTCAATTTTCTTATCTGTAAAATGGGGAGTTCAAGACCAGACTGACCAACATGGAGAAACTCCGTCTCTATTAACAATACAAAAATAAAACAAGCAATGAGGAAAGGATTCCCTGTTTAATAAATGGTGTTGGGAAAACTGGCTAGCCATGTGCAGAAAGCAGAAACTGGACCCCTTCCTGACACCTTACACTAAAATTAACTCCAGATGGATTAAAGACTTAAACATAAGACCTGACACCATAAAAACCCAGAAGAAAATCTAGGCAGTTCTAACCATTCAGGACATAGGCATAGGCAAGGACTTCATGACTAAAACACCAAAAGCATTGGCAACAAAAGCCAAAATAGACAAATGGGACTTAATCAAACTCCAGAGCTTCTGCACGGCAAAAGAAACAGTCATTAGAGTGAATCAGCAACCAACAGAATGGGAAAAATTTTTTGCAATCTACCCATCTAACAAAGGGCTAATATCCAGACTCTGTAAAGAACTAAAACAGATTTACAAGAAAAAAACAAGCCCGTTCAAAAGTGGGCAAAGGATATGAACAGACACTACAAAAGAAGACATATATGAGGCCAACAAACATATGAAAAAATGCTCATCATCACTGGTTATTAGAGAAATGCAAATCAAAACTACATTGAGATACCATCTCATGCCAGTTCGAATGGCAATCATTAAAAAATCTGGAGACAACAGATGCTGGAGAGGATGTGGAGAAATAGGAACACTTTTACACTGTTGGTGGGAGTGTAAATTAGTTCAACCATTGTGGAAGACAGTGTGGCGATTCCTCAAGGACCTAGAAACAGAAATTCCATTTGACCCAGCAATCCCAATACTGGGTATATATCCAAAGGATTATATATCATTCTGTTATAAGGACACATGCACATGAATGTTCACTGCAGCACTATTTATAATAGCAAAGACTTGGAACCAACCCAAATGCCCATTGATGACAGACTAGACAGGGAAAATGTGGCATATATACACCATGGAATACTATGCAGCCATAAAAAATGATGAGTTCGTGTCCTTTGTAGGAACATGGATGAACCTGGAAACCATCATTCTCAGCAAACTGACACAAGAGCAGAAAATCAAACACTGCATGTTCACATTCATCGGCAGGTGTTGAACAATGAGAACACATGGACACAGGGAGGGGAGCATCACACACTGGGGTCTGTTGGGGGGAACTAGGGGAGGGACAGCAGGGGATGGGGAGATGGGGAGGGATAATATGGGGAGAAATGTCAGATATAGGTGATGGGGAGGAAGGCAGCAAAGCACATTGCCATGTATGTACCTGTGCAGCAATCTTGCATGTTCTTCACATGTACCCCCAAACCTAAAATGCAATAAAATATATATTTAAAAAAATACAAAAATAGCTGGGCATGGTGGCACATGCCTTTAATCCCAGCTACTCAGGAGGCTGAGGCAGGAAAATTGTTTGAACCCCAGAGGCAGAGGTCACAGTGAGCCGAGATTGCCCATTGTATTCCAGCCTGGGCAATAAGAGCGAAACACCATCTCAAAAAAAAAAAGTTATCTGCCAGGCACAGTGGTTCATGCCTGTAATCCCAGCACTTTGGGAGGGTGAGGAGGGTGGATTGCTTGAGCCTAGGAGTTTGAGACCGGCCTGGACAACATGGCAAGACCCCACCCCTACAAAAAGAAAAACCCACAAAAATTAGCCAGGTGTGGTGGCATATGCTTGTGGTCCCAGCGGTGGGGGGTATCACCTGAGCCTGGGAGGTGGAGGTTGCAGTGAAACCAAGATTGTGTCCCACTGCATTCCAACCAGGGTGACAGAGTGAGACCCTGTCTAAAATAATGATAATAATAATAATAGACTCCTTATTCCCAATTAATTGATAAAAATTTAAAAGATTGGTAATGTTCATATCCTGAGAATGGTACTGTATGAAAATAAAGTAAAATTTAAAAATTAGGCCAGGCACAGTAGTGGTTCATGCCTGTAATCCCAACACTTTAGGAGGCCAAGGTGGGCAGATCACTTGAGGCCAAGAGTTTGAGACCAGCCTGCCCAATATAGCAAAACCCCCTCTCTATTAAAAATACAAAAAATTAGCCAAATGTGGTAGTGCACACCTGTAACCCCAGCTACTTGGGAGGCAGAGGCAGGACAGTCGCTTGAACCCAGAAGGCGGAGGTTGCAGTGAGCCGAAATCATACCACTGCACTCCCGCCTGGGCTACAGAGCGAGACTCTGTCTC